ATGGCTCCGGCTATGCACAGTATATATGTGAGTGTATGAAAATGAAAAAATGGAAAATAAAAACCTTTTTCATGAGAAGGGTCTACAGATAGCCACACCCATTTATTTAGTTCTATATTCAACCCTCCTACATTATTCAATGTGTTCAACTCAAAGATTCATGTCCAAATGTTCAAATAATCCCTTGCAAGATCCGTTTTCAGTTCACATAAGCTTGCTTCTTTATACAGAGTAGGAAAAGTTATTTAGTCTGTGTGACAAACCAGATGGCAGAAATGTTTCAGGAAATCAGAAATAGCTGCACTTTTAAGTCTTAAAGAAAATCCAGCCATTTGGCAACAGTCCTCAAAGTCACAAATTGGACAATTTCTGAAGCTGCAACAACATCAAGGATGCTAAGGCAGAGTCTCTTTGAAATCATAATGATCACATAAACATTTTGTTTTCTTGGCTTGGAAAAGCCTGACAGCACTCCAGTGTCCCCAAGGTTCAATATTTCAGTCTCCAGACACCACAGCTCTCAATCCATATTTGGATGCCAAGACTTCAACAGTTTGAATAAGTGCACTGGGGGAAAAATGAAGAGATAATTACAAAATAGAGCCAGGGAAAGGGGGGATTCCTGCTGTAATATTCTGCAATGCAATGAGAACAATCACAGTACAGTACAGTAACTTGGGTTTCCCCAGTCCACAAGGCATGTGCAGAAATGAGAAGCCACCTTAAGTGCATCTATTTTGAATAAATTCTTTTGGACCATAAAAATGCTTCCCCTTCATAAGAAGCAAGTGTAATTCACACAAGCTACTTAACAACCCTAAAATAATGTGTTGCTTACCATCCTGGTCGAATAACCCTGTATTTTCCAGAGATGGAGAGGTCAACCACAGTTGAGCCTAGCCGACACTCAGGACTAAGAGAATCCCCAGTTGGACCCCCATCGATGACCAGTGAAAGATGAGGCCAAAGCTCCTGGAATTCCTGAAGAAAAGATACAGAAGAAATTAGTTCCTAGAACCTGCTTAGTACACTTCACAGGAAATATTGGGGGGGGACGGGACCTAATAGTATGGGAAAGGCAGGCAGAATTCTGGTCTAAGAAAAAGGTTAAAACTGTGCCTACCAAATCCAAAAACAGAGAATGTCTGCTAAACATCTCCATTTATTGAGATGTGCAATGGATGGACACTTCTCTGGAATAACTCCTGATCCCAAGCAAGTGAAAAAACCCATGGCTCTTTTAGAAGTCCTTTGGGACTTGAATGTTATAAGCTCCCAATGCCAAGAATACTGTATTAATGATTGCTATACACTGTGATGATTGCACTGAGAGCGGCATTACATCAATCAATGCCCAAGAAAGTACAGAGCGAAGTTAGGTTCAGTCCAGAACCACAAGATTCAAGCCTGGCTGAGTTCCACACGACATCAAGGAAACTTCTCACAAGCAAGCACTTCAGGCTGCTGGCCTAAAGGTCCAGGAGTAGCTCCAAACACTGTTCCCTCTAAGGTGCGCGCGTGCGCGGCCGCACACGTCGCTAGAAACCTCCGCGCAGAGCTTTCTAACTGCCGCGCAGAGCTTTCTAA